CATTCGTTCTGCAGCAGCATTTATATGAACGTCTATTAAAGCACAGAGGGTTAAAGAGGAACACACCTGAGAAAGTTAGACCCATCAGTGGAACCAGTTAGTCTAGACCTCTGCTAATGAGTTGCTACAGGCAAACATTCCTGAATGGGTGCAGCAACGATGACATCATTATGATAATAGGAGCAGGTCTATCTGACACATATCTACAGGATTTATGACTTTACAGGTGACTTCATGAAATTACAGAAGACCTGGAGCGGGACTCTGACAGCAAATAGACATTTTCACAAAGCTAACATAGATTCCACTAATTTATAGACAGCCAACCAAAGTATGAGAAATCTGTCAAAAGGTATATTGATGTTACTGCCTTAGACACCCCCCCCCACACACACACACACATACACACACACACGCCCCCCCCCACCACGCACTGCATTTTCCTCCTTACTTTTAAATCTCATGGCTTTTGAACAGCAGTGGTTTTATAGCATGATTATTATAGCCAATTCTATTGTTAGATTTCATGTGTAGATTTTTATTTATTTTTTCACACTAATCTATAAAACATTGTTTCTTCCATCATCACTGCTGTATGTTATTAAACAGAAACACACTTTTCCTACAGCACCTGAATGTAGCAGGAAGGTCCCTGGTCTGAGGTATGCGTTGTGATTTGAATGAACGGACCAATCAGAAGCGTCGCCAGGCGGAAGCAGATGGGCGTTCCGTCACTGCTGACCAATCAACGCGCCAATCCTTGTTTGCCTTCATTTTTGAACTGAGCTGTGAGCGAACCGCTCGTCTGGAGAATTCAGCTGCTGATTATTGGACCGGTTCTATCCGGCAGAGCAACATGCGCTGATCCGACTTTCAGCTCTTATTTCTCTGCTTCGCTGCGTTTCCAGAGGAGTTCAACCCATTAACCGTGTTAGCTTAGCAGTTAGCACCGTTAGCTAGAGAGCTAGTCGGAGGTAAGTGCGTCACTCTGGTTGTTTTAAACATTCAATCCGACCGGTGTTAAAATTAATCTTTTATGAAGTGATTTTTATTTTTGTGCGGAGGATTAATTCAGTGAAATGAGTGATTATTTCTGCCGAGTTCATGTTTCTCTTCCTCCGCTAAGCTGTCATGGCTGACAGCAGAAGGCTACGGTGTGAGGACCCCAGGCTGGCTGCCATGGCTGACTGCAGCATGATGTGTTCAGGGACAGCCTCAGCTCTGCTGGCTGATTCCTCAGTCTGTGACTCCAGGATGATGGAAACTACCAGGGACCAGGCCTTCCTCAGCCTGGCCTGTGAGGAGGATGGAGGAGGTGAGATCTTCTCCTTCCTTTGCTCCTTTCTCTCTGTTTGCTGAGGAGGAAACATTTTATTTATTCTGATAATATATCATTAATCTGGGGCTTTATTCTGAAATCATTAATCTGGAGCTTTATTCTGATATCATTAATCTGGAGCTTTATTCTGAAATCATTAATCTGGAGCTTTATTCTGAAATCATTAATCTGGAGCTTTATTCTGAAATCATTAATCTGGAGCTTGCAGTCCA